TTACATCTGTATTTGGGATAATTCTGCCTAGAAGACTCCAGTAGGTTAATGGGTCAGATCTTCCCCTATGGGGAAAAATGCATATAAGATCCAGTTTATATCCTATACTGTAATTCCATCTGATGTGCAGGTTATGCCCCTTTTTTTTGAAGAAGGCTGTGGGCAGGGGTTTCCAAACCACCAGATCTTGGACAACCACAGATGGGGGGGTTAGTTGCACAACAGCCTCCTACACCATATTTCTCCTTTCCCGCATAGCACCACAACTCTCTTAAGAGGTGTGATACCATAGCCTCCTCGCAGGCCACTGACCAATATCCCCACAGCTTCAGCCTGAGAGTTTAATTGACTGGTAGAGAAAACAGCTTAAAATACTATTTTTGGAGTAGCAGCCATGTTAGTCTATATTCGCAAAAAGAAAAGGAGTACTTGTGGCACCTTAGAGACTAACAAATTTATTTGAGCATAAGCTTTTGTGAGCTACAGCTCACTTCATCGGATGCATCTCATGAAAGCTTATGCTCAAATAAATTTGTTAGTCTCTAAGGTGCCACAAGTACTCCTTTTCTTTTTGTAAAATACTACTGAGAGCATCAGCAGTATCGTGTATTGCAATCTCCCCAGGGGGATAAGCAGAGATTATGCTATAGGGCACAACTGTTTCCCTCCACCCCAGCTATGTACCCTTTGTGCTAAGCCAGACTCACTTGCTTTGGGTATTTTCCTCTCACTCATTCAGATGGAGGGGACAATTAGAGCCAATGTTTATAATCGTTCTCTAATTGTGCTCTTTGTTTAATACCACAAGACTCTTAACTCAGTGCTTAGCTCTTCTCTCTCTCGTTCTCTTTCTCTCTTCTTTTTTCCCCTGAAGCAAATGGTGGTAGATCTTGCTAAAACTGTTCATAGTGATTGATATAGAGTGTTTCTGAGAGCTGGAAACATATCTAGTAATTACACTGTTCAGACATGAAGATTGTATTACCTCAAATTGCCTGGAATGATGTCAATTTATCAAACTTCCTGCAAGGAGTTCATCTCTGCTGTAAAGTGATCACTTTTCTCTCTGTTAGGTTGCTTTATCTAATACAAAGGGTCCAGAGGGGATTTATCCACTGTCTCTTTCTACCTCATCTTCCCTTGATTCTACTTGACCAATAAGGAAAAAAATGAGACAGTGTTTTGCTACTGCCTTATTATTTATTTTATCGTCTTTCAGAACAGTGGAGGGAGAGGATATATAATTTGATTTGAAAGCCCAAGACAGTTTAAGCAACAGGGCTTTGACAGAACAGCAGTAATCATGTCTGCTTACTGAGGTAAAACATGGTCTGTTTGTATTCCATACAGAGAATTTCAATTATTCTTGTTTAAGACCAAAAGATTAAAAAGTATAAAGCTTCATTTCCTATTGAGCGCCATCTTAGTGAGTCTTTAATACACCTATCAAAGTATACTTTCTGGATAATTTCTTTTTCTGTTTAGTGCTGCCAATTAAGAGAGATACTCTGATTATAACGCCTGACCCTACCTGCCTATTTACGTCACAAAATACTCGATAAAATGAGAATTAGCTTTTGAACCATCCACAACAGACTGATTTATAATATGTAAGGTATGAAGCAAAAACTTCAAAAGAAACAAGAAATTGTATCCAAAGAGATAAACAAGATGTGTAAATTGAGCATTCCTGGCCTTTCCATACTGTGTATGTCATGTTAATGCTTTGAGATCAAAGCATCTAAAAAAATTAAATCTTTTGTGGGAGATTTATTGTAGAGACATCTAGATGGCTGCTGTTTTCAATTCAAAGTGGTGACATTTGGCAACAGTGTGAAACCAGATTTAATTGTTTTCCATATTCTATTGTGAAGCACATAGGTTTCCACTAAAGCCTGTTTGGTGTGCTCACTGTGTGGAACAAGGCAAGGACACGTTGTATGGGTTTTAACCTGGCTACAACTTTATTAGTCAAAATACATCCAAGGTTCCTGTCGGGGGACAGACCAGTGCAGTCACTTGAACTCCGTTGATCCTTTGCCATTTCTGGGGGGGGTTCCCACCATAGGGGAAGCCAGTGCTCTCAGCAAGAGAGTCTCTGGGGTCCACAAAAGCCTGCAGGCTAGTAACTCCAACCATATTATCACCATACCAGGAAATATGTCCACGAGCAATCCAATATCCGTCTTAGCCTCCTGTCCTCACAGGACATCAGTGGGTTCAACGCATGCCCTACCTACTGTGCCAAGACTAAATTCACCTCCAGCCCGGGGCCTAGCTGCCCTTGCTAAATTACATACTCTCTTGTAAGCTGAGTTCACAATGTTGTGCCCACAAATCCATATCCCCAGCCATAGGCATGCTCTGAAACATTCTATGTGACAGGCGTATGGAAAGAAGTAGATGTGGTTAAAACCTGCAGTGCTTATGGCCCGCCACCTGCATCTGCCTCCCCTAAGACAGCCACATGTAGGATTTATAGGCCCTGGATCACCTGTGTCCCATAACCAGACCTCTGATGCCCCAAGACCCAACTGGGTAGCTCCGTTGCGGCCACTACACAGAATAAGTGGGTACCATACTCTCCTGGTAGACAAGAATGGCAGTCCCTTGTTAAACAGTCCCACAAACTGAAATTGGTTAGAAAGGAGCATCCCCCATACAGTAGAGGGGACCTGCACCAGGTGGTCAATGAGTCACACATGCTTGTAGGGGACACAGGTCCCCCACACCAGAGCAGTGCAGAGCAATAGCCTTGCCCACCCCAGTTTAATCATTTTTTTTAAAATCCATGGACCTCAAGCCATAGAGATTCACTGTCCCACTACACATCCTGTAATTTGAAAGCCCACCTTGAAGAGTCTCCCCTGGCTGGAGTGAAAACTCCGTGACTAGACAGCCCAAATAAAAGTCAACAGAAAGACAGCCTCACCCCTAAAATGGTACATCCAAGGAAGACCCTCAACTAATTTCCTAAGGAGCTACAGGATACCTGGCTTGCTGAAATTGCTCCACATCCTGGGAGCCCTGGCCCCACCTGCCTTCATTCTGCAGATCATGAATTCCCAGTAGGAATCCAGCTGACCCCCAGACCTGCAGTAAAAGGCTACCCCGGAAAACTGGTTAGCTATACTAAGACAATGAAACTGCTGAATTTGGAATTCTGGTATAGTTGAGGCCCTCAGTCCCCCTGAAACTCTTCAAACTCCATTGTGTAAGCTAAAAAGGTGCCCGTTGCAAGTGTACCCTTGTCCACAGGTACTGCTGTTAGCAGCCACAATTCACGAGGGCTGCCAGCATCTTTTCTGGCACTCTCTTGGCCTCTGGTGTTAGTACTCCGAATCTGTTGACCTGCAATCAAGAGATCAGTATGGCCATTAGGCCCAGGCACATGCATGGCAGTGAAATTAATTTTGCATGCACATTTCTGCTTGGTAGTGTTAATTGTTAAATAATCCTAGGATAGAAGAGAGTGCTTTGGGAGCTTTAGTCACATTAAGGATGATGCCATGTGTGTGGAGTCATGCCTTCTCCGCACTGTCAAGGGCTGCTGTGGCTCATTGTGGGAACGGAAATTTCTCTTCAAGGCACTGGGTGAGACATGAGATAGAATAAGCCCTGGTGTCCTGGTAATTCATACCAGCAAGAGTGTAGTTAGGTGCATTCCATTCCTGTCAGATAGGACAGACAAGCCTCTGTCCAGAGCACAATGTGCACATTTCAAAAAGCATGTACCATTTGGTAACTCCATCCCAGGGGTGGCTGTTGTCATCTCAGCACCTGATGAGCTCCCTTTCATGAGAGCATAACTAGACTAAACTCCCTCCAAATGCTTCCGCTCAAGACAGCACTTTCAACTGGGCCTCTGAAAAGCCTTGTTGAGACTTGATTATCTTCACTTAGGAAACAAGTACTGCCTATTGGATTTCTATTCTACAAAGACTCTCAGGTGCTTGTATCCTTTGTGCCCCTAGGATTTAACAAAGAAACCTACCTCAGCAACTCACTTTGTAGCTTGGCAGGGTCTTCCACATTTGGGGGTATGATTCAGCAAGGCATAGCTGCTGGAGAAAACTCAAGCCAAATCTATGACTATTTGACAATATTACATCTAAGAATTTTCTGCAAGCAGCACCTCTATTGTTCCTGAGTTCTACCCTTCCAAAATTGTTGAAAATATTTCTGGAGCTGACATAATATGAAAGGTGGCTTACATTAAGTAAGAAAGACATTTCTCTAGGCGATAGCTGTGATAATGCCAGAAGAACCTTAGGAGCGTAGGTCTTTGGCAAGGAATAATATTCTGTAGGCTTTGTCAGACTTCCATGATTCTTTGTAGGTGAGTCAAAGTCCCAAAATGCCTTGTGTCTATAATTCTTTGTTTTGAAGCTGAACATTAGCTGAAGCTTAGCTTATTATCAATGATGAATTTAATGTCCTCTTGAGATGCATTTACATAAATGATTGAACATGTATCCTTGCATTTGATTGTTCCATAACCCCCCATTCTCCACATCTAGATCCCAAAAGTATGTGCTTGAAGGTGAGCAGAGGGTGAGTAAGCAAGCATGCCTAAGCAGTGTGGGTAAGTACATGCATCAGGTTGGGGCACAGCCCGTTATCTGTGCCAGTGTGCAAAGTGGAAGGGAGCAAGAGGCATGTACTTGAGTTTCAATAATCCTCCACCCTCATTCCCATACCATACCATAATGCAATGGTATTCTTTTCTGTCTGACTTACCCAATCTGATTAAGTGAGCTGTAGCTCATGAAAGCTCATGCTCAAATAAATTGGTTAGTCTCTAAGGTGCCACAAGTACTCCTTTTCTTTTTGCGAATACAGACTAACACGGCTGTTACTCTGAAACCAATCTGTAAAGGTAGCTGTTCCCTCATTTTCACAGGTGGTAGCAAGAGGCATGTACTTGAGTTTCAATAATCCTCCACCCCCATTCCCATACCATACCATAATGCAATGATATTCTTTTCTGTCTGACTTACCCAATCTGTAAAGGTAGCTGTTCCCTCATTTTCACAGGTGGTAGCAAGTTGTGCCAACCACATCAGAACAGTTTTCTGGTGCTGATCAATGTATGGTCAAAGTACACCATCCTCCAAGCCTTCTCTCAGAGTGGCAGGAACATTCACCTGTACTGGGAAATTTCACAAAGCCTGGAGTAGGTGGGCATTCAATGGACTATGGCCCAGTGCCGACAACTGATGAAGCAACTGAGAGGCCTCTACAGGAGGACAAAAGACTTCAATAGTCACTCTAGGAAGGCTTGTTATATATGCCCCTTTTACAATGACCTGAACTGGGCACTATCAACGGCTCCCAGTACAAAGCCTGAAGTGGCTCAGAACCCCTTCCTGAACCCCACTGGCCTCATCAGATGAAAGGATGCTGGTGAGGGCCTGGCTGAGGAGTCAGCAGGGACTGAGGAGGGTGGCCTGGAAGACCTGAAAGATGAGGAGCATATCATTTTGCACCCCGCCAGAGGAGCCGGTTGAGGAAGCCCCCCTGACGAACCAAGGAGGGGACCCCAAGCTGCAGCAGGAACGAGAACCAAAGTAAGTTATATTGGATCCCCATCCTCCTTGCCAGTCACCCTTCTTGCTCTTGTGCTATCTTCCTGATTTGAAGCCCAGCTCCTGCTCTGTACCCCCCCACACAAAAAAAGAGTTACCAAAGTGATGCCTGTATTGATTTCCCATGAACCATTATTATGCATTTAGCAAAAGCTATAAAACAGATTATTCATGAATAAGGCTACGTTTTAGTCACTGGTATTTTTAGTAAAAGTCATGGACAGGTCATGGGCAGTTAACAAAAATTCATGGCCCATGACCTGTCCATGACTTTTACTAAAAATACCGGTGACTAAAACTTGGGCCGCACATGCTCTGGAGGGAGGGAGGTGACCCAGAGGCACTGCAGATACTTTGTGTGTGTGTGTGTGGCTGGGGACCCCTGCTGGTGCTGTGCGGGGTTGGGGTGGCTGGCAGGCTCCCTACCTGGCTCAAATGAGCATGTCCCTGCAGCTCCTAGGGGGAGGGGCGTCTGGGAGTTTCTGAGCTCTGTTCCCGCCACAAGCTCCGGCTCTGCTACTCCCATTGGTTGGGAACGATCCAGCTGCACAATCCAGGGGAAATGGGAGAAGGATCTGATCTGGCAGTTGGATAAACACAGTGTGGTGTCCCTTTGCAATGGAGAGGTGAGGAGCATGTTGTGCTTATCTGAAACTTCATGGAACAACATAAAGTTGAAGTATGTGTTTCTTTCTTTCCCTGTCCATTTCACTGTTGTTAAGCAGGTACAGTGGCAGGTTTTCCTGTGATTCCAAGGTGAGGCAGATTGGGGAAGGGGCTTATTTACATGGTTCACATCTCCCTTTGCATGGAAACTCTGTATGCTAGCTATTGAATATGGTCAATATATAGTCAAATTGCCTCCCAGTCTTGTAAGCATATTTCAGCAAATTTCTGGTGTAGCAGAAACACCAGCTGCTTTTTCAGGTTCAACAACAGTGCAAATCTGCATGGTCCACCTTCAGATCTGACCAAATCCTTCCAGCCAGCAGTATTTAGAGGGATGATCATTAGCGCAAACATTTCCCTGGCATACAGTGCTGGATCTCCTCCAGAGGATTGGAAAACCACTTTTCTTTTCCATTCGGGTATCTTATAAACCACTATGTTCTCTGAATGTTGGCCAGTCTTTCCAGGGTTTCACACATGGATATTCATGAATCTGCCTCTGTCGTCCGCTAAGCCTTGCAGAACAAATGAATGGTAACTTTTTCAGTTCACGTATTCACTTGCCCCTTGTTGATGAGACATGAGCAAGAACTGCCATCGGCAGATGGCTGAATGAACGCAGGGGATAGCATCAATAACACACAGCAAGTCAGTTACTAGAGTGTCACCCTGTGATGCACAGAAACCTGGGATTCTGTCCCCAAATGGTAGCACTAATATCATAGGATAAAAGTGGCAGTGTGGACAGAGTATATGTGTGTGCGTTGTGTTATGACTGTGTTGAGCACAGCATATGTGGAAGCTTGGCTTGGGTATAGGGAACATGCAAGAACATGTACATGGTCAGGTAACTGGGTATGTGTGCCAGTGTAAACATAGCCTTATTCTGACCCATTGGCCATTAAGAAATATGTGCAGATGGCCTTTGATTGATGTGGGGCAGATGGTTTCTCTGATTGATAATGATCTATCGGGAGATGCTTTTAGCTTATCAGGAACTACGCTTTACAGATGTTTTGTGTCATAATGTCTTTGTTACAATAAGCAGTAAATTAGTTAGGTAAACCAGATAGCATGAAAAGAACTCAATGGGTCATTTACTTTGTCTCTTTTTCAGTAAACACACATGGTGTATAAGGGGGAGAGTTCCTGAGTGTTAGCTGGAAATTAATTGAGCTGCAAAGTCATTTCTCCAGGCTGGTTTGACAAGTATGACATTCTTTTCTAAACTACACTGTATTGATCTTTGACCAAGAATCTTTGATTAATAAATTCTAATTGAGCCTGTTTAGTTGACATCTTATATTCTTATCATTAAAATTTGAACCCTCACCAGATTGATTCACTCATATTTTCAAAACACTATGAGATCCTTGGACAGAAGGCATTGATATTTGTTCAGAACTTAGACTGTAACCTCTTTTGGGCAGGGACAGTCTTTTTGTTCTCTGTTTGTACAGCACCTTGCACAATGGGGTCCTAGTTGTTACCCCCATAAAAATAAATAATAATAAATATATTTTGTGCCCCACTGCCTTCCCCAAACAGCCTGAAAAACATTTTATTGTTTGCTTCCCTTAGTTCTGAGCATATCCTTTCTGTTTACCTTTTAAAGGCCTAAAATAGACTGTTACAGACATCACAGCTGTGGGCCGTCTAAGATTGCCCAATGCTTGAAAGGACCACTGCTGCTGGTGTGTCCACTGCCACTACTAGATTCTTTGGCATAAAAGATACCACCTACTGAGGGAAAGCATGTTATCAGTGTTGGCTGTCAGAGTGAGAAAACAGTGACACTGAACAACACAGCCCTCTCCCCCTCCCTGAGAAGAGTAAAAAACCAAAGCCTACTGCAAGTCTTGTATAGGTGTTATAGATAGCACATTGCAAATAATAGTACTTCTGACCATGTCATTACTGCTACCACAATCTCCCTACTCAACTATGTCCTGGAGAAAGGTGTGTATAATTTGGCTGGGGCTCAAAATGGAAGGGGAGGGGAGTTTTAGTTTAGTTACTGAGTCCTGTGGAGGATGATTGGTTTCTCTAAGCAAGTAGAGCCAAATCCTGAAAGCCTCACTCAGGCAAAAATTCCCACTGAAATCAGTTAAGAGTGAGGCCTTGTCTGTTGTATTGTTGTAATTAAAACTGTTTTTTAAATGAATCTAGTTAAACCAGTGAAAATCGCTATGTGGACATATTTAGGCCCCAATCCTGCAAAAATGCATGCCCATGCTTAACTTTTAATATATGAGTAGTCTCACACTTAGGCCTCAGTGAGTATGTCTGGACTGCACACAAAGCCTGAGGTTCTGACTCCAGTTTGAGCCCAAGTTCCACTTTCATCCATGCACAAATTAGTCTGACTTAGGTCAGCAAGCACTGACTTAGGTTAACCAAGTCCTAGGAGACTGCTAGGGGTCTAAGTCAGAGTCCAGGTCCTGCTGTGATTCAGGATAAGGCCAAGACCTGTCATTTAGCAGTGTGGACACATCTCAAGCTTCAGGCATGAGTCAGAAGGTCTGCCCAGTGCAGTATGGATGTGTCTAGCTGTCAGACCTGGGTCCAGCAATTGTCAACCAAGGTTGACAATGCAGTGTGGATGTTGAAGTGCAGGCTTGGAAACACCAAGTCCAGAAACCTAGGTTCCACAGACCGGGGTTTATAATGCAGTGCAGACCTACCCAATGAGGCTATGTCTACACTACATCGTTTACAGTGGTGCAGCTACACTGATGCAGCTCCACCACTGTAGTGCTTCTGGTGAAGACTATCTAAGCTGGCAGGAGAGAGCTCTCTCTTTGACTTAATAACTCCTTTCTCCATGAGAGGAGGTAGCTATGTCGGCGGAAGAAGCTCTCCTATTGACATAACATTGTCTACACCAGTGCTGAGGTTACTATAACTTATGTCGATCAGGAGGTGTGGATTACTTACATCTTCGAGCAACATAAATTATACTAAAGGAATTTGTAGTGTAGACATAGCCTGAGACTACTCACAGTGAATAAGTTAATTGCAAATGCAAATCTTTGCAGGATCAGGATTTTAAATCAGTTTACAGCTGGCTTGATTTATATATAAGTCAGTTGTAAACTGGTTTCAGTGTGTCAGCACAGGGCTTTGCACTGATTTAAGTGAATCAATTTAAATATGGATTTTCCTTAAAGTGTTGCAAGTTTTGTGTGTACACGAGGCTTAGGTATAAACCTAACTAAGACCATCAGATTTTGATCAAATCAACATTGTGGGGAACCTGCACAAAACTCTTTCTTCATACGCATACAAATACCTTTAAATAATTTACTAGAAAACCTAGTGTTGTCTCATGTGAATTCACACTTTTCTGATGTTTAACACATCAATCATTGATTACAAAAAAGGGAGCAGTAAGGTTCAAATCTGTCCTAGGTCAGGAAAGGCAAAATTGTTATGAATGATGTGAAATATGTTCTGTTCAAATAGATTTCAAGAGATCCCAAAATGACACCTGCTTTGACTTTCTACTGCATCTGCACACCAGCCAGTGGTGTGCTGAGATTTTTGTGAACTGTCCATGGAAGCTTTTTGATTCCCTCCTTCCTCAATCAGCATATCTTTGAATGTGTTAAACCTGCTTCAATGGGATTGGTCACATAGTAGACAATTAGGAGCTTGGGGGAATTTAACACCCCACAAAATTTTAGGGATTACTTTAATAAATAAAGGAATCACTGAGTTTGGAACAGAGTCTCATTTGTCTTTCTTTACTAAAAATTGACAGATTTACTCACTGTACAAAACTATTCATTAAAGTGACATTCAACAGCTACTATTCTATTATTTTTAGCTCTAGGCCCCACCCCCTGCAAATAACAAAAGTTGTTTATGATCCTGGGAAGTCACATATAGAACTGGTTGAATTGTCCCCCCCTCCCCATCATTGGAAAATTTTGAATTTGAAAAGAAATTAAAAACCAAAACTGAAAACTGAAACATTTTGATTCTGAAATGCTGCTGCAGTACCTCATGGGGGTTGTAGTTTGTGTTACGCATGTTCCCATTCTCCTCTGTAGGGCTCCTATTTGAACTACATCTCCCATCATGCACCACAGTCATCCTCTTGATAGACACTTTTCGTGAGTGGATGAAAAATAGATACTTTTTTGCAAAAGAAATATGTTTTGTTTAAAAAATCCAATTTTCTGTAAAATAAACAAAAACAAAAAAAATAATTTCAAAAGAAATTTTTGAACCAGCCCTAGTCAAATAGTTCTTTGTTCCTGACTGGCTGAATTTATCCCATATGTTTTGGAGCCTCAGAGAGATGCTCTCTTTCCCAGAGAGTGAGACAGATTCTCTTATTCAGCTGGCAAAAAATTTCTTTGACAGAACTTATGTTTGCCTGGCCATCAGTCGCCTAGTACATATACTACATTCTGAATTTCCTTTTGGTTTTATATTTGAGCCGTATTTCCCAATTTTACAAGCAGAATTTTTTTTTACCTTTTTTGTGAGAAGTATAATTCATGGATGGAGCCCTGCTCACAATAATTCCCTGGCATCATTTTAGTATTCTATTTGGTCAGAAGTAAGGTTCAGTTATGTGTTTTACACAGCTGGCACACTGCCCCATCACATAGTGTGGAAACTTTGAAGACACCTCACAAGATCCAGCAGGTCCAAGGAAATGGAGAGATGTATGGGACACCATGTGGAGCACAGCTCAGCCCTACTTGTAAGAAAATGAAGCTTGCTTGCAAAGAGTTCTCCAACCATCCGTGGAAGACAGACAATCCTTGTTGGAAATTCAATGCTCAGAAGAACCAAAAGAACATTTTTGGAAGAGACAGGTGGACAAGAGGATGATGTGTTGCCTTCCCAGAACCAAGACACGTGATATTCTAAGATTGGATAGGCTTCTGAAGTCGACAGGCTTTGGTGATGGTTCATATGTGACAGAACCATTGGTGATGGTTCATATGAGCAGTAATGACATTGTGTTGCAGGATAGCAGATAGTAGATGACTTCAAGCAACTTAAAAGCTTGCTGAAGAAAAAGAATTTCCAAGCAATCTTCTCTGTAATCCTCCCTGTTCCACAAGTGAATGAAAACAGAAGGCAGAAGCTTCTGGAAGTGAACTGCTGGCTAAGTAAGTGGCGTAGGGTGGAAGGTTTTGTGGGACATTTGTCCGTCTTCTATGGGAATAGGGGAATGTATAGTTTGGATGGCCTCCATCTTAGTAGAAGGGGACCAATCTTCATGGGGTCAGGCTGGCTAAAATAGCCAGGAGCCCATTTAACAAATAACAAAAGTGGAAGGTAAAAAGAGAGAAGATATGAGCACTCAACACAAAACTGAGATGCTGAGAACAAAATAAATCAAGGAACCAAAGGACATGAAGAGAAGAAATTCTTGAATTGCCTATACACTCATGCTAGGATCCTGGGTGACAAACAAGTGTAAGCAGTGTCAGGATGAGCTCCACCCTGACATCTGGTGGTGAGGTGTGGCAAGTTGTGGAAAAGAACTTCAGGGGCCGATCTCATTTGCATAGGCACACCCACCACGCCTAGAATGAGACCATAGCTGCCCAAATGGTCACTTTGGCTGCTGTGGGATCCCCAGTGTCTCTGTTATTGGGGCAGGAAGAATAAATTGTTATTACCCTGATTATGGGAACTGTGCTTGGAACTGTACGTGGCCTTTTGTTATGATGGAGGGATTCACCATCAACTAAGTAGCACTCGCTAGGCAAGGGTCATGGGTTCCAAAACTGTGTGAATGGAGAGAGGCTGGGGACAAGTACTAATACTTGGTGGCATGGGCCTCTTGGTGAGGGCCTTACATGCTAATTGCACTTCCTCCTCTCTCCACTGTGGAATATCAGAGCTAATTTTGATTTCATTAGAAGTCTAGTTATAGGCTGCTGAACTCATTTTGGGCTGACAGTGCACCAGCACTGGGGCTCCCCTACTACAAGCTGAATTCACCTAAGAGCTGAAATCACTGAGTGTTGTGTTAAGTAGTGGGGGAGCCTGAAGATATATTGTGGAGCAGTTGGTGGGCCGGCTGGTGGAGCAGTTTGTGGATGGCAGGAGCTGCTTGTGGGCCGTGGAGCTGAGAGAAGGCGTTCGTGGGGCGGCTGGCGGAGCGGAGCACAGCTGAGCGAAGGAGTTCGTGGGGTGGCTGGCGGAGCGGAGCGCAGCTGAGCGAAGGAGTTCGTGGGGCGGCTGGCGGAGCGGAGTGCAGCTGAGCGAAGGAGTTCGTGGGGCGGCTGGCGGAGTGGAGCGCTGCTATGGAGCTATGGGGCGGTCAGCTTCAGATCATGTAAGGTGCCTCTTACCCCCGTCCCATTTCCACCCAGGTTGGGAGGTAAAGCTCCGCAGATAAACTTTCGAACTCTGGGGCTGCCCTGACCAGGGACAGAGACTTTTGGGGCATTGGACTTTTGGGACTTTGGGTGATTTGGGGTTGCTGGACTCAAGAACCAAAGGGAAAAGGGCATGCCCCAATTTGCTTGGGGTGGGTTTTTTGCTCATGGGTTGTGTTATGAATCCTGTTGGTGGTGTTTCCCAAACATAATGCCACATTGTTTCTCTCTGTTATTAAAAGGCTTTTGCTACACTCAGACTATGTGCTTGCGAGAGGGGAAGTATTGCCTCTTGGAGGCGCCCAGCGGGGGTGGTATATATTTGTCCCAGGTCACTGGGTGGGGGCTCGAGCCGGTTTGCATTGTGTTATTGGAATGGATCCCCTAGATATTGAACCCGGCCCTTGTTGCTGCCAACTCTGACGGGCAGAAGGGTTACACAAGAGAATTAGAATTGCTCATTTATGAGCATAAATTCCATCTAGTTGGTATTAACAAAACCTGGTGGGATGATTTGCATGATTGGAATGTTAAAATAAATGTTTATAATCTATTTAGGAAGGCTCAAGTGGGCAAAAGGGGAGGGAGAGTGGCACTCAATGTCAAAATCACATTACTTGTTTCCAAGTCACTGATAGCTCAGAAGAAAATTATCTTGAATGCTTATGGAACAATGTCCTAACAGTTAAACCACAAGAGGGGGTATCAGCTGGTGTCTGCTGCAGACCACCAATTATGAAACAGGATGACTGACTCCTGACACACCTATATATAATATGTCAAAAAGACCCTGTGTTGTCACGGGGGCTTCAATCTGAGTGACACATGCTGGAGTGGAGGTCTCATACTGCCAGTAGTAAAACTCCTTGGAAATTATAAGCATCATAGAGGGCAATTTCCTAATTTAAAAAGTATTGCAGCCAAAATGGGAAAAATCTTTATTCAACTTTGTCCTAAAAGATAAAGAGAAACTGATCATGGAAATAAAATTGAATGGTTGCTTAGGTACAAGTGATCCTGACTTGATCACACTTGTAATGTGCAAACAGAATAAAGTCCAGACCAGCAATATATATACTTGGTGCTTTCATAGGGCCAATTTCACAAAACTGAAAACAATTATGAGCTAAATCAGAAGGATTTAATTAGCAAAATGTGAATGATAATTGAGAATCATTTAAGAACTTCTTACTGGATGCCCCAAAAGCCACAATCCCACAAATGAGGAAGAAGACTGTGCTGGTTAAAAAAAAACCTTGGTTTAGAGGGAAAGTGGAGGTGGCTATAAAAAGTGTGTGTGTATAAAACAAATGGAAGAAAAGAGAAGTGATAGTAATGAATATAAATTAGGAATTATAGAAAATTAATATTGGTAGCCAAGGGACACAAAGAGAAATCTAGTCCATTATTAGATGGAAATGGTAGAATTGTCAATAATGCTGCAGAAAAGGCAGAAGTGTTCAATAAATATTTCTGTTCTGCATTTGGGGGGGAAAGCAAACAATATAGTCTTATTGTGTGGTGATGATAACACTTTTTCTATTCCACTAGTACCTTTGGAGGATGTTAAACTGAAACTACCAAAGTTAGAAATTTTTAAATCAGCAAGTCCAGATGATGTGCATCTAAATTTTTTAAAAGAGCTGGCTGAGGAGCTCACTGGACTGTTAATGTTGATTTTCAATGTGTCTTGGAGCACTGGAGAAGTTCCAGAAGACTGAAAGAAAGATAATGTGTCAATTTTTTAAAAAGGTGAACAGGATGACTTGAGTAATTATAGGCCTGTCAACCTGATATTCATCCAAGGTAAGATAATGGAGCAGCTGATAAGGGATTCAATTAATAAAAAAATAAAGGAGGGTACTGAAATTAATGTAAATCAATATGGGTTTATGGAAAATACATCCTGTCAGACTAATTTGTTATCTTTTTTTTTGGATGAGATTACAAGTTTGGTTGCTAAATGTTATAGTGTTGACATAGTATACTTAGACATCTGTAAGGCTTCTGTCTTGGTATCTCACAACATTTTGATTAATTTTATATCATTCTCTATTTTAATTTGACACATGTTAAATGGATTAAAAACTGCCTAACTGATAGGTCTCAAAATGTAATAGTAAATGGGGAATCATCACCAAGTGGATGTATTTCCAGTGGGATCCAGCAGGGATTGGTTCTTGGGCCTATCCTATTTCACATTTTTGTCAATGACCTGGAAGAAAACATGAAATCATCACTGATAAAGTTTTCAGGTGACACAAAAATTTGGGAAGTGGTCTGTAATGAATCACTGATTCAGGGTGATCTCCATTGCTTGGTAACCTTACCCTGCTCTGCTGTGAGAACCCTGACTCCTGGGATGTTCACGCACAGCCTCTGGCATGTAAACTGCTTGGATTGTGCAACTGAATGACACTAGACAATATCTCCAGTCCAAGACACAATCCTAGGAACCTCCATCTTGCAGTGTCCAGTTATGCCCACTGGACGCTGCAAGCTTATATGAGTTTGTCAATTTAACAAAGAAATTGATATCACCAGGCTTGTTATCCCAAAGGGAGTCTCTGACATGCTTCAAACCAAATACATTGCTTCAGGTAGAATAAACAAACAAACTTATTAACCACAAAGATAGATTTTAAGTGATTATAAGTCAAATCCCAAAAAGTCAGATTTGGTCTAATGCAATAAAAGCAAAACACATTCTAAGATGATCTTAACACTTTCAGTGCCCTTACAAACTTAGATACTTCTCACCACAGGTGTCTGGTTGTCCTTCTGGTTGCTTCTCACCAAAGGTGTCTGATTGCCCTTCAGCCAGGCTCTCCCATTTGATCAGCACTTCAGTAGCTTGGTGGTGATGTCTATAGATGGAGGTGGAAGAGAGAGGAAGAGCATGGAAAACATCTCTCCCTTTTATCATATTCTTTCTTCCCTCTTGGCTTTGTGCCCCCTCCCTTCAGGGTCAGGTGAGTATTATCTCATCATAGTCCCTGACTGACCAAGGGAAGGGGGGTGACTCAGTGGAGAGTCCGACAGATCCTTTGTTGCTGCCTAGGCCAGCATCCTTTGTTCCTGTGAGACTGGGCTGGGTCTGTCCCATACGTGCCCTGATGAGGTGTGAACTGCCCCTCTGTTCCTGGAGAGTTTTGCCTGGCCTTGTTTTAAGCTAGGAGGACACATTTTCAGCCTCATAACTATATACATGAAATTACAACCTATAACATTACTATAACAACAATGCTCAGTGCATCATGAGCCTTATGAAGACACCCGACATGACAAACTTTGCATTGGATACTACGCAATCATTTTATAAGGATGAACATGGCAGTGCAGGGGTTCTCCCGAGGCACAGGGTGTCACACCCTTCATATCCTAATCTATTATTTCCACCACCCAGAAAGTGTTATATTAAGCTGAGAGTACAATCAGATCATGCAACATTTTAGGATCCCTCCATCTTGGTTCGATATGAAACAATAAATTGATCTTAGGACAAATCTGAACTGAGTTTCAGCCTCCTGTTATGGAACCCAAAACTGAGCAAAAATCTCCTTCTTTTGAGTTGTATTACAAACAGGTCTACAGAGTGACTTTTTTTGATATGTAGCTAGTAGAAGTGTCAAAGAGAAAAAAATGCATTAAAATGGATACTAAGGAAACTTTAAGAAAAGCCTGTGCAAAACTCAAATTTTTGGAGAGCAGAGAAATAAAGATTATATTTAACAATAAAGCTCAATAGTTCTAGTAAGCTGGCTGTATCTCTTGTTTAGCACACCATCAGCAGCAAGGCCCACTAACAGCTAAACAGTTCTCTTGGGGAAAAAAATCATTGAACAGCCAGCTTTGTGGTGATATTCTCATCATGTGAGCTGGAATCTTGGAGCACATAACAGACTCTCTCCACCTTGACTTCTCTATAATTTTCAAACATCAACTTCAGTAAAAGATATGGGTCTGATGGATGAAGGTACAGCACCAATTTTAACTCTCATCCTGGTCAAGTTGCTGCTTGGTGTTGGTATACAAAAACAAATGTGAGGGTCCCCCTGTAGAAAAAGCAGTAAGTATGCTAGCGTGTAGCCTTTAAATATTTTATATCTAGAGTGCCTTTTTCATTAAGAATACACTTTTATTTCTGACATTGAGAAAATGGCTCAGGATCATCACTTAAACAAATTCTTTTTAAATGCAGATTTTGAATTGCTGCCAGGACTGAATACAAAATCCTTGCAGAGCAAACACTATAAAAATCAGTAGCAATACCTGCCTAGAAGTAAATTTTTCTGGTCATGTCTACTGCATTTCTTTAGTTTTATGCCTTTGCTTTTCTTAAAAAGGAGCAGCCTTGGACCTGGCTAACCTCCATAGAATTATACCAGATAATGCAGCCTACCACACTGAGGGAACTACATAAATAATAGATCGTCATAATTAATAAACAGACATTCCTTAAAGATTTTTTCCCTTTTAGAACATCATAAAAAAGATTAAACTGTTCTGATGATTTTTTAATGATTTATTAATTGCCTGTGCATATACACAAACACAGCCACAAGCACATAGGGCCAAATTTTCCTCTGATTTACATGTATGTGCACTTATCCCTTTTGATTCAGTAGAACTGACCAAGACAGTTTATGTTAATGAGCTGAATGAAAGCAATGATAAGTGTCTTCTGAACATTGCTGGGGATCTGTGGCTGTTTCTAAATTGTTAAGCTTCACTTCTAGGATGCGAATAAACTTCCCTTCTTCTAGGAAGGAACTCTGAGAAAGCATTATTGAGAGGCTTGTGATGAGTAAAGTCTGAAACAAAGGAAAAGCTGATATAGTTCTGTGGTGGTTTAGAATGACCCCAACAAAGCCATCATTATGGTAATAGGCCAGAATGTACCCCCAAGAGGTAAGTGCAGAGTAGCCTTGTCACATGTACATGAGGTCTTAGCTGCCTTTGTAGAATATTACCCCCTTAGTTCTTTGGTCCTGACAGAAGCCAGGCAGGGAAGAAAAGCTGGATGAGTGGTGGGCTTGTAGTAGGGGATGGGCCAGATGCAGAGAGGAACTGGAGCAGCTGAAGGCAGGCAGGGACCAGGTGGGAGGAGGAAAAAACAAAACGAAACCTTGGGGCAGGAGAGACCAACCCCGGTGTAAAAACTCAAGCATTTTCTTTTATGAAAAACAAAATGTATAGTATTCAGAGTAACAGCCGTGTTAGTCTGTATTCGCAAAAAGAAAAGGAGTACTTGTGGCACCTTAGAGACTAACCAATTTATTTGAGCATAAGCTTTCGTGAGCTACAGCTCACTTCATCGGATGCATACCGTGGAAACTGCAGCAGACTTTATATACACACAGAGAATATGAAACAATACCTCCTCCCACCCCACTGTCCTGCTGATAATAGCTTATCTAAAGTGATCATCAGGTTGGGCCATTTCCAGCACAAATCCAGGTTTTCTCACCCTCCACCCCCCCACACAAATTCACTCTCCTGCTGGTGATAGCCCATCCAAAGTGACAACTCTTTACACAATGTGCATGATAATCAAGTTGGGCCATTTCCTGCACAAATCCAGGTTCTCTCACCCCCTCACCCCCCTCCCAAAAACCACACACACAAACTCACTATCCTGCTGGTAATAGCTCATCCAAAGTGACCACTCTCCCTACAATGTGCATGATAATCAAGGTGGGCCATTTCCAGCACAAATCCAGGTTTTCTCACACCCCCCCACCCCATACACACACAAACTCACTCTCCAGGAGTGAGTTTGTTGTGTGTATAATCAAGCCCACCTTGATTATCATGCACATTGTAGGGAGAGTGGTCACTTTGGATGAGCTATTACCAGCAGGATAGTGAGTTTGTGTGTGTGGTTTTTGGGAGGGGGGTGAGGGGGTGAGAGAACCTGGATTTGTGCAGGAAATGGCCCAACTTGATTATCATGCACATTGTGTAAAGAGTTGTCACTTTGGATGGGCTATCACCAGCAGGAGAGTGAATTTGTGTGGGGGGGTGGAGGGTGAGAAAACCTGGATTTGTGCTGGAAATGGCCCAACCTGATGATCACTTTAGATAAGCTATTATCAGCAGGACAGTGGGGTGGGAGGAGGTATTGTTTCATATTCTCTGTGTGTATATAAAGTCTGCTGCAGTTTCCACGGTATGCATCCGATGAAGTGAGCTGTAGCTCACGAAAGCTTATGCTCAAATAAATTGGTTAGTCTCTAAGGTGCCACAAGTACTCCTTTTCTTTTTGAAAATGTATAGTATGTAATTCATTTCACAAATACGTTTATTCTCCCAACATAAAAAAGTTATCCTATTTGTTGTTCAAAATGAGCAATTTTTATACAGTATAGAAAAGTTGAGTTGCTAACTAGTAAACCCAGTGCACTATTGTATCTGCCCTTCTGATGATACATTTCTATAAATTTATTTGCTTTTTTCAGCATCTTGTACTCTACAAAGTCTCAAGCAAAGCAATCCAAATATGCTGCAAATATGTTTGCTTGGAGCTCAACTCCTGGGCAGGAATGCAGGTCTTTTAAAAGTTGACAAAATGCTGAATTAAACAGTCCTGTGATTCCTCCCTTCTCCCCTCCCCCAATTTCCTAACAATTTGCAGCAACAGACATTGACACAATTCCCTCATAAACTCAGTATTCAGGATATTGTCTTATCAGTCACATTTCCACCTCTTTTTACTGTTCTGGGCTCAACCTATGACCTTTATATTCTGGAACAGTCATGTTGGCTAAGAAAAGGAAAGATTCCATAGCATCTTTGATTCATCTTTCAATTTTGTCCTTTTGTGGTTCTAGTTCTTTGCTGTTAATTAGATCAAATCAGCTTTCCACAGAGACTATGACAGCAGAGTCATCAGTGTGTGATCCGTCCAAGTCTGTCCAAAACCTCCTTCAATCGCTTTTTGACATGTGGTACCTCTTGGCAGAATCCTTTCTGATGTGAAATTTGTGCTATGTAATGATCAAAGTCCTCCTCAGACTTAGTGCAAATGACAGTATGCTTATAATCCATGGATGCAAATGTAGAGACACATGGCCAGGTTGAATGCACTACTTCAACCTCTTTTCACCACTTCATACAAAAATAAGAAAATTCAGATGTTACAGGACTTTACTTTGGGGCAGAATGACCAAATTCTACCCTGATTTACATTCTTTATAACCTCATTGAAGTCAATCCATAAGACATGTTAGGACAGAATTTGGCCCTTAGGTCCTACAGCAATGTTAACTCAGCCATATTGCATATATCGCCTATGTTAAAGCATATTATGTACATTATAAGAGCTAATGTAAGGTGCATTAAAGTAAATAATCTAAAGTGAAAGATGGAACAAATTTTATCCCTCATGCAACCTTAATGACTTTAATGGAATTACATTAGGGATGAATTTGACCCTAAATGTATAACAAAAATAATTCAAATGTACAATTTCACATTAGTAGAAGATTTTGTCTGCCAGCATTGATAGACCAAATAATGGACCCATGCAGTTAAATCTGTAGGGATAACTGTTTTAATTAATGACAGCAACATACTTCCACTGCTTATGCAGCTGTTTACTGCAACAGACACAACTGTGCACAAAAATGGAACTGTGTAGACCAGTAAGGAAAATAAAATTTTGCTTTACAGATGTAACAGCTTGCTTTATCACTGTTTGCAGTCTCTGCTGGCAAATGTGATCTTCTGTAAATGTTGAACTGTGCAGTTCAGTTAGTGGGGAGACCTAATGTTTCCTTATTTAAACAGTTGAGTTTGAGTCATAAAGTTCAGATCCAAATCCAAGCACATTTACAACCTAATTGTGTTCTAATTTTGTCCACCG